GAATCTGCTAACATGTATTGACGTCAATTTGATGGCAGAAACCGAGCAGGATTTGCGCGCGCGCAAACTGACGGCAGATTGGTAGCAGAAACCAAGCAGAATCTGCAGCTTTTGGCCATTTATATAAAATGGTGCATTTAAATGAATTTAAAATTTAAAAGATCTCAATCCCAAGTGGCAAAATGACGATGAATTTTGGTCACAAAATGTTCAATTATATGTCCTAAGCTAGGTCTCATGAAACCCGAAAATGATGTCAATAGTTGATATGTCACATTCACGAGACGTCATTTTCTGACATTTGTATTAATAACATATAAATATATAATATTAATAACATATATTAATGTAATATATATAGAAAAATTTAAATAATTTATAGAATTAAAGATTTATATATGGAATTTAATTTTTATTTTATATTTAAGTAGATAATAACGATTTTCATTTATTCGGACAAAACTTGTCCGAATAAGTGAAAATCAGACATTTATTTGTCCGATTTTCCAAAAATCAATTTAATATCTGAATTCCCCTGTATGGGAATTGTATCAGAAATTAAACTGATAGAAATAATTACAATGTCATTAATCGCATTTTGCAGGCTTTATATAAGCTCATGACAAGAACTTGAATACGGCTATAGAAAGTAAATAGTGCGTCGCATAGCGGTAAGCGAATAAACTATACTATTTCAATAAATTATATAAATGGCTAAAAGCTGCAAATTCTGCTCGGTTTCTGCTGCCAATTTGCCGTCAGATTGCGCGCGCGCAGATCTTGCTCGGTTTAATTTCAAGTAAAAACAAAACTTCAAATATCTGGCATTCTTAAGGCTGACAGAATGCCAAATTTTTTGCTTGTTGAAAACGTGTCAGATATCAAAATCATACCGGGTACCATCTCAGATGAAGACCTTGCAAAAGCAGCGTTTCTTCCGAGAAAAAGAAAGTCCAATGGTGACATAGAAATGGTAAATCTTTTGGGGGGGTCCCGTTTGCCTACATTCCCGATTGCCAACAGCTTCGTTTGCCTACAACATTTTGCCGACAGCTTCGATTGCCGACATTCCCGATTGCCTACAGAGCGATTGCCTACAAGCATTATTGCGCACATGTAAAAATTAAAAATACGAACGTACGTTTGCACACATGACATTATTGCGCAGATACACATTGCACACATGGTATTATTGCACACATAAAATAAGAAAACCGAATTAACGTTTTGCACACATGACTTTATTGCGCACATGCAAAATGGAGCTAGCCCCAATAACCCTGACCTTGACATATATTGTCAAGGTCATCGTCCTGAGTGATCCTGACCTTGAAAAAAGTGGCAGTCATGATCCGTTCAAATCTATGTGTCTAGTTATCCGGTAGTGGTGCCCCCCCCCGCAGGGGGGGCGGAACATACTGCGTCCACGCATACACTTTTTAATGCGAAGCGAGGTTCCACGTGGGTTTGTAATTTTCCACGCGAAGCAAGGTCTAGCCCCATCATCTGCTGCTTTCAGTGCGAAAGAAAATCTATTATTGTACAGTTTCATATAGGTTTTGAATACACCCAGTAAGCAAAATGCGCATAATATGCCAGCAGATTGGCAACAGATTTCCTCAGCTCTTGCTAGCCATTTGGTATCTATTATGTCCGCATTAGGCTAATGATCTGCCAGCAGAGCCTGCTCACAGAATCTGAGAGCAGATTGGCAGCAGAAACCGAGCAGAATCTGCTAACATGTATTGACGTCAATTTGATGGCAGAAACCGAGCAGGATTTGCGCGCGCGCAAACTGACGGCAGATTGGTAGCAGAAACCAAGCAGAATCTGCAGCTTTTGGCCATTTATATAAAATGGTGCATTTAAATGAATTTAAAATTTAAAAGATCTCAATCCCAAGTGGCAAAATGACGATGAATTTTGGTCACAAAATGTTCAATTATATGTCCTAAGCTAGGTCTCATGAAACCCGAAAATGATGTCAATAGTTGATATGTCACATTCACGAGACGTCATTTTCTGACATTTGTATTAATAACATATAAATATATAATATTAATAACATATATTAATGTAATATATATAGAAAAATTTAAATAATTTATAGAATTAAAGATTTATATATGGAATTTAATTTTTATTTTATATCTAAGTAGATAATAACGATTTTCATTTATTCGGACAATTTCTGTCCGAATAAGTGAAAATCGGACATTTACTTGTCCGATTTTCCAAAAATTAGTTTAATATCTGAATTCCCCTGTATGGGAATCGTATCAGAAATTAAACTGATAAAAATAATTAAAATGTCATTAATCGCATTTTGCAGGCTTTATATACGCTCATGACAAGAACTTGAATACGGGTATAGAAAGTAAATAGTGCGCCGCATAGCGGTAAGCGAATAAACTATACTATTTCAATAAATTATATAAATGGCTAAAAGCTGCAAATTCTGCTCGGTTTCTGCTGCCAATTTGCCATCAGATTGCGCGCGCGCAGATCTTGCTCATGTTTTTGCAACCAATCTGACGTCAAGCCATGTTAGCAAATCTTGCTGGTTTTCTGCTATCAGATTCTGTGAGCATACTCTGCT